CTCTCTAGGCATACAAATCAATTAAGAGAACTGATGGGATATACGACTGATCGACTGTTCAAGTAATGAAAAAACTTTTTCATGGCAATCTCTATCATTTCACAGTTTACACCGTTCAAATATACACATACGAAGAAACATATGAATATAATCATGTACCTCTAGTTTAATTTGATAATGTATTTCTATATTAGTATGTTTCCTATTTCTTCTTCACTTTAGCTTTCTTGATTGTATATCACTTTCAACTCAAGGGTTTATATTTAACATGCATGGATTATTTATTTACCTACATAAATTACGATAATTAATTGTACATTATTGAAATTTGAATGCATTTGCAAATTCCGCTCTTCTCTTATTTAACTAGCCTCGGTTGATGAGCTTTTTTATTTCCTTGTTGATCGAGGTTGTAACAGTCGTCAATTTGTGACCAATATTGCAATGATGGAATTGACAATACGGCTCGTCAAGTTTGATCACCAATTTCCTTGGGTGACGAGCAATCAAGTGAGTCAAAGGGGGCCACGCCATAACTAGGGTGCAAATGAGTGAGCGAGTCAAGCTCGAACATGGTATGCTCAAGCTTGAGTTTGATAAGAATTAACGAATTCAAACTCGAGCTCAAGCTTGGACAACCAAAATAAATCGAGTTTGAATTCGACCAAGTTTGGCTCGATCTCAGGTGAACTTTGCTAATTGAATTGATTTTATATATAGGTTTGAATTCAAATAAGATGCTGGAACTTGAGTTCGAATAAGATGCTCAAACTTGAGTTAAAACTCGAGCTAAAAAAATCTATTTTCCAAATTATTAAAATTAGGGAATTTTATTTAGCTCGAGTAGAACATTATGATACAAGTAGAACATTATTGAAATAATGCATTTTATTCAAACATTAATTAGCTCTAATAGAACATTATTAAAATTATGATACCTTTACATAAATAGAATCAAAATATAACATTTTTTCAATAGAATATTGATACGAGTTTTCTCCCAGTTAAAATAAATGTAAGAAAAAATAGTATCTTATCATAAAAGTTCATCTTTAGTATGTCAAACTGTTTGGATTATAATTTTGAAATAATGCATTTTATTCAAAACAGTCGTTATCCGGATTTGCACTCCAACATAAAATAAATGCACTTTTATTTAAAATTTTATGCAACATCAACTTAATCAAATATTTGGTTTTTTCACAAATATTAATATAAGTAATTAACACCATTCATCGATGAAAATCTCTCTCTAGGATTTCCTACCGCTAGAGCTCTTTGTCCGATATCAACCCCGTCGAGGACTGATGCCGCTTTGGCTATAGTTCGCGATTAGATGTTTTCGGAGGTAGAGGTGTGGAGTAGGCAGCGCGATGGTCATTTCGTCAGGTTTGGCAGCAAGGAGGACTGTTCGGGGCGGCTTTGGCATCGAGGGCCTTACGGTGAGAAGGAAGGCGGAGCTAGGGTGGAAACCAGGCGGCTACTATCAATTGAATAAGGGGCGGTAAGGTCTGCATGGAAAAGATTGTTGACCAGTACAACAAGATGACTATAGGAGAGGAAGTTGAGGAGTTGGATCTAGATGAAACCGAGATCAATGATGTTCTAGTTGAAGAGAATCGACCGAGCTATCCGGTTGTGGGTGCCTTGTTAACAGATAGGAAAATCAAATTTCCGGGTTTCAAAGAGTTTATGGCATCCCTGTGGAGACCAAGGAAAGGTGTGTCGATTAAAGAAATTGGCGACAAGATGTATCTGTTTACTTTTTATCATACTGTTAATATGAAACGTGTTCTTGATGGAGGCATGCGACAATTTGAGAGGAATTTGTTTGATTCTTAAAGAACTTAGGCCAGATGATATTCCTCACAAAATTTGTCTAAATGAAGCTGAATTATGGGCACAAGTGCATAATGTCCCTTATAGTTTGATGAATTTAGGTACTGCAGGCGTGTTGGTAAATTTATTGGGAAGTTTGTTAGTTATGATGATAACCAATTTGGTTAAAAGTGGGAATCTTATCTGTGTGTTAAGGTATGTATGGATGTGGAAAAACCTCTAAAAAGGGTACAACCCTTTAAAAAGGAGGGGTTGGTCATTGGGTGGATTTTAAGTATGAAAAATTGCCCAATTTCTACTTTGTTGAGATATTATAGGTCATTCTGATAAATTTTTCCCTTTGGCATATGAAGAAAATATGGTACTGGAAAAGTCTCCTTGGTTACATCTTAGAGCAGGGACGGGTAATAGCTTGGCAAAAGAGGCGGATTTGGGAAGCAACAAGAAGATGACTGGAGAGCATAAAAGAAGGCGTATCTGGGAGGCTCAGGACACAAAGATTCAAGTGGGGGATAATATGGCTCTGGATGGAGAAAAAACAGGGAAGAGGTGGGCTTCGAGGTGTAATTCCGCCAAAACTGCTACATCAGAGGCCAACGCCATGGACGTGGAAGTTGGTGGTGATTGGGAAGATGGGACAAAAGATTTATTTCTTTGCTTTTATTTATTTTGATTGTCTGAAGTTTATTATTTCCTTTCGGTTTTTTATTTTATTCTGTTGTAAGACTTGGATTTGGATGTGGGTGAAAGGACTGCGTTAATCGTCCTTGACTCATTTGCGTCCAGCAATGGATCAGCGAGTTATATTGCTTCTTTTGAGGTGATAAACTCCGAGTCTGATTCGAGGGTCGGCGGTTTCCATGTGTCTTTTTGTCTTTTTACCCACTATCTGAATGATGTGTTATCAATTTAAGCCTATTTCTTTCACACACACAAAAATGTCAAAAATATAAGGTATAAGTAAGAGTATCGTCTCCATGGGGATGAAAAAAGAAATCAAGTGTGGAATACTTTTAGAGATTAAAATAAATAAATTAAATGCGATTGTGCGAGATTATTTTTTTGTATTAAGAAAATAAATCTAAAAGGATTCTCGATAATTAATGAGAAAAGGAAGCAAAGATTGATTCCGGGAGCAACCAGATTTCGGGTTTGATCAGGCTTAAACACATGAAAATTATTTAATTGAGCAACGCAGGTCAATACTAAGTTCTTAGCGCTCTCGCTGCATAGAGTGCAATAATTTAGAGAATCGGGTTGGTCTCTCATGCGATAAGTTTCTAGACTTTTGCCGAAACGAGCGAGCGTGCGGCTCACTAATCGCTTCTAATCTCTTAGCGAACGATCCAGTGTGTATGAAAGTGTTCTAGAATAAATTAGATCTCTCTTAAATCATTTTATGTGCAATTATAATCTTAAATGTTGTTCCACGTTATAAAAGATATCAATTAAATTATTCAAACACAAATTAAATAAGTAATCATGCATTTAAACCCTTCAGAACAAACCCTAGATCATGATTAATAGTTTAATAACCTCTCATCAATGTCAAATCTCTATTTAAAACTACTCACAATTCATAATTGTCAGATGCCAGCAGAAATGAGAAGGAAAGAATCAATCATCATTAATTAAAAAGATAGAGCATACACAAATAATCCCAGGATCTTAATAATCCAAGGTTGAAAACATCTGAAAATTCGTCTTAGACGCTCTCTCTAAGCTCTATAACCTAAAAGTGGGGTTTATATAGACTATTTAAATAGAAAAAATATGAATTTGGGCCGAAACAGGGCTTTTCAGTCCCGCGCACGGTGTGCGTGCTGTGTGCGTCCGACAAATGAAACCCGGAAAAAACAGCAGTTTTTAGCATAATTGCTACTCCATAAATGCACTACATAAATAACATCTTTGCTAACAAGTTAAAGCACTAACGCATTGACAGACATATGATTCTCGTTCTTGTATAAAATGCAAGAAATTAAATTGTCATTCATTGCATTTTATAAAAATTCAATAAGCTACTACGGCACCAAAGTTACACAACAGCAACAAAAAAACAGCAATAAACACGCCGACAATCAACCACATCTCTTCTTCACTGCACAGTGATTCATAATGCAACGTATCAGTGTACACATTCACTTTTACAAGCACAGTACACACTAAACATTCACAATTTTTATAACACTTTCATACCAATTCATTTTCTCTGTCTTATGCTTTGCTATTTCACTTTGACAAACATGAAACCCATTAAATTGAAGAATAAAACACTCACCACACCGTCAGTGGTTATCAATTCGTAGTCTTTTCCGAGTCACGCTTCTTGTTCTCTTTTTTCTTCTTGTAATCGCCATTTTTGCCACTTCTCTTCTTCTTGTCATTGTTGTATGTTTCCGATCGATAGGTGTTGTTATTTGGTAATTCAGGTCTAATTTGTTTGGAATTATTCCTTAACTCAACTTCTTAGCAAACGTGTTCGACTGACTTTCTATCTAACTGATAGAACTAGCATTTCACCCCTGCGTTGCACGGGATGATGGACATTCTAAATATCAATAAATTAAACCTTATTCACAATTTTTAATTACTCTTACTGGTTATAAAGGAGAGTAGTGAAGCATCATGTGTATATATATTACTCCCTTCGTTCTGTTAAGATTATCTTGTTTTTCATTTACGGTCTGTCCTAATAAGATTGCCTCATAGTTACTCACACCAAATTTGGTAAACTTTATATGGTTATAGATCTTTCATACTTATTCTTACATTATCAATTTAGTATAAACCACACACACCCACTCTTCATAATAGTTGCACCACCTTCTAATATCTCAATGTTAGTGGGACAGATGTAGTAATATATAACTGAATTAAAAATCATATAATTGTTTATCACAAAAATGAGAGAAATTGTGAATTAGGAATATTACATATTATATGTTTAATAAGCACACACATTATAATTATTGAAGACCTATTAGATGATGTCTTTTCAATTTGTTTTATAAATTAAAAATGGGCGCTCTTTCTGCCATCGTATTTCTTCTTCTTTATTTTTTGGGAGTAAAAACGAGTTCTTAGCTAAAGAGATTTATTTGGCTGGAGGGAGTCAAGTAGTTCGGCTAAAGATCTAGGAAAAGGATCACACTGGATAGTGAATACAATTGAAATGATTTTTTTTACTATAGTAGCTTATTGTGAATATGAATATAGAAACATCATCAACATACCACACATATCTAGTTCTTATTACTAAAAGAGTTTGGGTAGATTATATAACATGAATCTTTATATGATAACTAGTTGGAAACACTAGACAGAGATGGAAGGAGACTAAAGATAAGACATTAAAAATCAATAATAATATACCAATCTTGAAAAATAGCATAAGCTAAGAAAACTATACTAGAGTAGATGGTTTATTAGGCTTGGAATCATCAAGATAGTGCTGATAAACATAAGAGAGGAATCCCCATAGGGCAAGGAGCAAAGCAATGACCTTAACTCCATCCATCTTGTCACCAAACAATATGACAGCCATAACAGGAACAATAGGCAAACCAATTGTACTAATGACATTGGAGAACAAAGAAGAAACCTCAAATACTAATCCCAACAAACCAACAGAAAATATCTGCCAAGACAGAGCAGTCCAAACCAAAGTCATCACATATGAAACTTTACCCTTCCCAAAACCATCCATCTCCCCCTTCAAACTCCTCCATTCCCCGCTTCCGAAAAGCCCAACCACGCAGCAAAAAGTCGCGATGAATGATGGGTAAACTTGCATATCCAAGACCACATCAAACGTTTCCCTTTTAATCACCTTCTTGAACGACAGTTCCTGTTAAACATAAATCATCACATATGAAGTAGTACTAAATAGATATAGTGATCTGAAGTAACATGTATGCAACCTTAGGCTACAAATCTAGCTACCATACATATTAAACAAATACTTCTCTAGAATATAAAAATCATATTTGAGTAATACCCATGATAAACAATCTTTAATTTTTAGTCAACTCAGTCAAGATCTCAAGTTTTACATGTTATGAATGATAACTTATGTTCGTGTACGTGAATTTGCTAGAATGTATTAACTTGAACTTATTTCCATATGAGACATATCACATATCATATTATATTAGACTTGATTTGAATTGACTTAAGCAGATCAGAAGAGGCCAAATTGGACTTGTACAAATCAGATATGATCAGGCGACATAATATCTATTCTTAGAAGATCAAACCATTTCACATCGGATCAGGCCATGCTTAAAGAAGATAGTCCAAGTGAATAAACATTGTTAAGCTTATTGAGATTAATTTCTAAAGTGCTTGATTTTATAAGGTTTATACATGCATATTAAATTTGACTCTTAACTTTTAACATTTACAATTTTTTATTTGCACATTTTGTATTAAAAAAAATTATAGAACATGGAATGGAAATTTCCTGAAATAGGACTAAACACAATGAAAGTTTTCAAATTATATTATTGTACTAAATATGAGTAACTTACTGTCATGATGAAATTTTACTGACACATTTTGGCAGTCAAGATTGAAATATGACATTATATTGCTGTAATTGCCAATATTTTCCAAGCATAAAGTATTTTTCAAGTATTTTCCATACATTTTTGGGGGTGCTTGGTCTATCAAACATTTTTGGGGTGTTTGGTCTATCAAACATATCAAACATTTCTTTGAGTTGACTTTGATTTTTTTACTATGTCAAACGGCTATTTTTAGTGTTCAGTTTTTAAATTTGCCTGTTTGATGCGAAGAAGCCAGAAATGAAAAAAAGGTTTGAGTAGTTTTCACAGTGACTTTTTTATTTTATATTTTAAAAGCATAATATAACTCCAATTTCACCTTATTAATTAATTGTTTAATAAAATATATAAATAAATATATTAATTGTAATAAAATACTAATGACAGTGCAATAGAAATGGTAACATATATCTTATTAATATTGTTCCTATTTTATAATATGTTCAAAAACAAGTAAAATAAATGTATTTAAAATATTATTACTAAGAATAAACAAATATATGTGTGAGTTTGGGTACGTGTGTGTGTAGAGTGTATACATTTAACAATAATAGTTCTAATTGTATGGAGTATATATATAAAATAATTGTACAAGTAATTTAAAAACTTTTTCAAAACTTATCAAAAATAGCAAGTCGCAGTGTGTGTGATTTAAATACCCCGAACTTTTAAGGGGTGTGAATTAAGCACCCCAAATTTGCACATGTAATAAAAATACCCCGGAATGTATATAATTTTTATCTTAGAACCATAATATATACAATATGTTTTTCCTTTTCCAAATGTAAATTTATAGTGTTAAGACATATAAACTAAAATACTTTGGGCATTTATAAGGATCATATTATTATCTAAGCTTCAATATTTTAAATAAACAACATTAAAAATTAAGTTTATAATGTTAATTTCACACTAAAAAATGCTTAATTAGAATATTTAAATTATTTACTTAACACTATAAATTTACATTTGTGAAAGAAAAACATATGATTATGATGATAAAAAAACATTTTATATAAAGTTCGAGGTAATTATATTAGTTATGCAAGTTTGGAGTGCTTACCTCACATCTCTCTTAAAAGTTCGAGGTATTTAAACTATTTTTCATGGCCTATATATACACGCGTTTTTATTCCTATATATTTTTAATGGTCATTGTATGCGGCCCTAACAGTTGATCACAAACAACCAAGTGACTAAACGTTTTACTTCAATCCGTTAATGATTGTGCATTGTCAAAATAATTAACAGAATCCGCTTATATCAATCATGTGATACAAATGACTATCAACTATCAGTCAACTGATGATTGTCAAGCACCCGCTTTACTTCCATTTAAGGCAGTTTGTTAACATATAACTTGAGAAAAGGAAAGTATATATAAGATATAGATAGATGAAAGTTATTAGGGAAATTGCCCAAAATAGGATCAAATGAGATTTGGAATTCCAAAATAGGACTAGTATGTTTTTCTTCCCGAAATAGGAGTGTTACTGTCATGTATGAAAAATACCGCCATGATTGAAAAATACTGTCATTAATTATAATAAATAATGTCATGTTAAATGCACTGTACTGCAACTATTTGACAGTCATGCCTACAAGATGACAGTAAATACTGTCATGTTAGTCCCATTTCGGGAATAAAAACATAGTAGTCCTATTTTGGAATTTCAAACTCTATTTACTCCTATTTTGGGAAATCTCCCAAGTTATTAATACCTCGAATATATACAGTATATATACAGAACGTAACTTATGTTGTATATACATTTCTAAATATGTGAACTTTAATTATTTAACATTGACTTATACTAATATTAGTCAAATATCTTTTGGTTTGATGACATCACTATGACATATGAAGGAGGAGGAGATATGTTCCAATCTCATATGAAGGATATATGTTGGCATTAACATTGAACATAATAGTATAAAAATACAACAACAAAAAACATACTCCTTAGATGCAAGCTTGCCTATCTCAGCTAGAAAGGCCTATTTGGTAGATTTATCGGTATTTATCATTTTCGGTATCTTAATGATTGTATTTTTATTGGGTAAGGTTTAGTCTCCCCGATTTCCTTCATTTTATTTTCATGTAGTTTCAAGAGGTATGCCTATTGAGAGAGGTTTTGATTTAGACCTTCTCTTTTTGTTCTTCTTTTTATTTTAATAAAATTTGACAAATATTCTCTGGCATTTATCCTATCGATAGGTGGCTTGGCTTCCGGGTTTGATAGGAAAAAAAACATTGACTTATATTGAAAACTTCTACTTATGTCCAATTTAAAAACTTCTTTGAAAAGCGGGCATATTTATGTCACACTAAATGCTTCTCATACATTTTCAATGCAAAGTATTATTTAATATAACAAAGTAACAAACATCAATAATGACAAATTTTGTAGTTTAATACACAATATGCATTAAAGTCGTAGACATTAAATATACAAATTTACAATTTTTTGGTCGATCAATTCTTATAGGAGGGACTAGGACTAAGAGGAGTCATAAATTCCGGGTGTACACATAAATACTTCATTTGTCTCATTTAAATATTTACATTTTTTACCATGTTTGATCCATTTCGAGAGATACTTTTAGGGTCAGAACTGAAATTTGCACGTGTTAAAACATGTGATTCCATCTTAAAAGGTCAACCTGATAGAAGGAGTAACTCAAAACCTTATATAGTGTTATTGTTTTATAGCTTTCTAGTGTTGGACAAATACTTTAACACGTTCCTGAGTCCGAACCGGACTGGATAATATCGGGGTGTATAAATGGAACAAATAGACCCTCAAAAAACCCGTAATCATGGGTGCTAAACAAGCAGTCAAACCGCAACCGAAATTGGTTCTGATACCATGTTAAGACCTGAGGTTCCATCCCAAAAGGTCAACCTGATAGGAGGAGTAACCCAAAATCTTATATAGTGTTTTATTGTTTTATATAGTTTTCCGGTGTAGGACGAATACATGATTCTACGAAATAGTGAAAACGGAATTCAAATACGGAGTATGATGAAAAAATACGTAGTAACCTAGTACTCCGTGTATAAAATTAGAGTATTTAGACATTAAAGTGAAACTCAATTAATAGGAAATGAATAACAAGGTGATGTTCAGTTCACTTTATTCTTATTCCTCATGGTTTATTTTTAGGTGCTTGCTAGGTTACCCAACAAAAATAGGAGGGTAACATACCTAGGATGCATTTCATTGGTCCAACTCAAAGTTTTACATTTTATTTGCATTTAAATTATTCAATTGAAAATTTTTGATTGGTGCATACCATCAAAGTACCATACCTTCAAGGTACCATAGAAATTGCCTTATTTTTATTCTAATCAAATAAGAAGAGAAACGTTTACATAAATATTGGTTATATTGTCTGGATCAAGTCTTAAAAATTAAGAGCATGTTTGACATCATCAATTTTCATTATCAACTAATTTTTTACCAAACATTTCACTTTTCATTTTAAGCGGTGAAAAAATGTTATACTCAATAATCAAAATAAGTGAAGACGAAGGTATTTTTATTGCTGAATTTGCTCAAATGTACTTCGTGCTATTTTAACATTTTTGTACAATTTTTTTTAAGTTTCTGAGATTGTTTTAAACATATTTTTCTTCATTGAGTATGTTTAGCCACCAAAATTTTACTACTATAAATTTATAAGATTCGAACAAGTATGTGACTATAAAGCATGAGACAAACCAGGAGGGACAGGTACAGGGAGTAGGCCGCGGAGGCGCCGACCGTACACAAGATGCCCACCACGTACTTCCCCCTCGGGATTCTGGACGCCGTGGTGTCGTCGGAGTGGACGGCGAGGAGGGCGGCGGAGACGGTGACGAGGACGACGGAGTTGAGCACCAAGGGGGTGAACCTATGGGCATTGATAAGGAAAGAGAAGAGGACATTGAAGGCGAGCTGGGTGGCGCAGAGGAGGGAATAGGTGGAGACAGGGAGGAAGAGGAGGCCGTAGGAATACATCAGGCAGGTGGCGGCGGAGAGAGCGCCGAAGAACACGTAAATGGACGGCAGCAGCAACATCCTCGTACTGCACCTGGTACGAGGTTGTTGACCTGTTCTTGATGATGAAGAGAAGGAGAAGAAGCAGAGTGGGAGAAAGACCGGGAAGCCGGCGGATTGAACCAGCGTCGCCGTCCACATGCTGTTCCCTCCTTTGTCGTAGTAAAACCGCCCTAACAGTGTGCCGGCGGATTCGCCGGCGACCAGGAAGATGATGTACAGCCCGATCCTAACCCACCATGTATATCCTCTGTTCTTTCTTGGTGATGGCAGCTCCAGTTGATTATTTGCAAAATCATTGCCTTACCCAAAAGAGAAAAAAACAAATTAAAGAAGATCAATATCCTTCAGATGACTAAGAACAACAAACTAAAGCTATCAGATATCATATATTTGACTTCGTAATATAAAGAACACGAATCAACCTTGGTTCTGGAGTTCAACTTCTTGAGAGGTATCCATGAAATTATGTAGCAAAGCCAGAGCTATGTAATTAAGAGAGCAATTGCTTTTGTACACGGTTCAAACTCATACACACTTTCTATATGACCATTCTTTCAAGGAAAATTGTGTGTGGTTTATGGCATAGACAACTTTTTTTGGGACATTCTTGTTGTACACATAATATGTACACAGATGGTACATTGCATGTGTATACAGACAACTAAAGTGTTTTGACATCAAATCTCACTCTTTTTCAAATGAATTGTGTAAATTGTGTGTGTACACAGGCAACAATAGGAGGGTTTTGTGTACACTTTGCATACAAATCATGTAAATTAATAATTTTTTACTTTTTTTTTGCATTTACTAAAACAAAAATAAAATACTTGGTAGGCATAAATAATGAGAAATTCTTTTTGTATATAGATTGTACACAATATGTGTATAGAGACAATTGACGGACAATTAGGATGTTTTATTTTGGACTATACTTTGCTGGTCTGATCTAGTATGATCTGGTATGATTTGATTTGGTTTGGTAAATATTTGAGCCATGTGTATTTTGTAACTATGAAAGTCTGATTTGATATGGTCTGATATTGGAGTAAAGATAACATCCTTACCTATTTTCTGATTGACCCGTCTAATTTTGCGTAAAAATGTAATTCTCCTTGAACAAAATGGGCGTGTATACGAGGCTTATGAATTCCACGTTTAGAAGAAACTACGTTGTTATGTAGGATCTGATGCTTTTTTCTTTCCATCCAAAATAAAAGTGATCATAAGATTCATTTGCGGAGATTTTAGTGGCCCCGTCAATCAAGGGCGGAGGGCAAGCCTATAATGCTAAAATAAGCATACAAAAGAAAATAGTCAAATACGGTCTTCTACTATTATTAAATCGTCACATAAAATCATGTACTCATTAAAGTGTCAAATAAATACGTCTACTTATAAAAAGCAATCAGATGAGTCCTAACGATCCGTTGACAACCTCTTAATTCTAATTTTAGCTTATGTGTCGTTATTTTTGTCTTGTACTTAAGTCACTATTGGCTAAATATTCCATGTCTGCCTTATAATCTATTTTGAAAACATAGCCCGACGTACGCTAATCCGGCATTACGAGTTTGTCAAAAGATCGTTAGGACTCATCGCTAAATATTCCATGTCTGCCTTATAATCTATTTTGAAAAGATAGTCCGACGTACGCCGCTAATCCGGCATTACGAGTTTGTCAAAAGATCGTTATGATTCATTTGATTGCTTTTTATAAGTATACATATATATATATGACACTATTCATGAGTACATGACATAATAGTAGAAAACCTTATTTGACCATTTCCTACAAAAAATACTTCATGTGTAATTCAATTCGTTGCTATAATAATTAAGGTTCTATTTCGTCAGCTCATTTTTTACTTATTAGTCTTATTAATCAACATCAACATTTTATTGAACATGTAACTTTAAATTTTACTGGTTGAATTGTGTAATAATTAAAACTAGTGTAAAACTCAGGGCATGCCCCGGTAGTAATGATTTAAAATGGTCAATATTAGCTGAGGCTGTGAACTTTTTAATAAACTTGTAAAAACATGTTTATGTTGAGAAAAAGAATATGTTTACTAATATTTTGTTGGGAAGTGAAAAGGGGTATTTTTAAAATTTGATATGTATGTCTTTATTATTCTTTTGATTTTAAACTTATTATTATTTTTATTTTCTCCTAATGAGCACATGAGTTCGAAAAGGTTCATAGTATGTTGTAACAGGAAAACTCATAGCATTTTATATTTTGTGAATGTTACGGTAACGATAAGAATAAACTTTGGATCAATGTTCTTGATAAAATGTATATGTAATTGTTAGGTCGAACTGCAAATATGTGATATCACTTTAGTAAAAAAAAATCTATGAAATAAGTAATTAATGGGGGTGTTTGGAAAATCGCGTTTCAGTTAAAAATAGTTGTTTGACCATTTTTAGCATTTTCAATCAGTGAAGCGATGATACATGTTGTTTGATAAATAGTTATTCAACTATAATGTTTTTTGTCAATGCCGCTGAAATAGGAACATTGTAAATAACAAGGCTTTGTGTTTGGCATTTTGAAACAGGGCTAGCAACTAAATTAATAAAAAAATTGCAACTCTAGTCATTCATGCTTCTTTCGCTTTCTTTTTCCTCTATCCATAACACCAGCGGTGAATATGCTGTTATTAACATGCAAAAGGTATGAGGTAATACATTTAGTTCACAATGTGTTAGTTGAAGTTGTTCAAATGTTATGTCCATAGTAGACGGTCCACGCGATAGAGGGAGTTTTATGAGTATTTGATCACTATCTTAGTCATTTTTAAACTTACCAATACCAAAAAAATGGTGTCCATATCTATTAGGAGTTGATAACTTTAATTATAAATATATATTTTCCATGTCCATATTTTTCGAGACTTATTAAATTGGTCATAATGAATTTTGTTTGTAATTTGTTCACTGTTAAAATATTCCATTTGTATATGTTTGTGTAGTAGTTAAGTCATGTGTCTTAGTAATTATATAATCTAATTATATTTCTTATTAAATAATAAACAAACATTGAGAAAATGAAAACAACAGACATACATTATACCAAATGTTATTTTATAGTAGGCGATTATATAAAAATTCTAGTTTGTTGAAAATGTGCGTGAGATTCTATATAACTTTTAATACCAAATGCTCACTAAAAATTCTAGTTTGTTGAAATTGTGCGCGAGATTCTGTGTAACTTTTAATTTCTATATGTTTTTTAAAAAAGCATTATATCTTATTAAATACTCCCTCCGTCCCAGAAAATTAGTCCCACTTTGACTTGGATCGGAGTTTAAGAAAGTGGGAATAAAGTGGAAATGTATGGTTGTGGTTGAGTAAGAAAAAGGTAAATGAATGTTAGCCACACAAAACTTTCCAAAAAGGGAAATGGGAACAATTTTTTGGGACGGCCCAAAAAGGAAAATGGGACTTATTTTATGGGACGGAGGGAGTACGTAGTACTGTACTTCGTATTAGTTATTTGCAGTGTAACACACGTGGCATGCCCCAGTAGTGTTAATTTGATATAGATTAGGTGACAAATACTAATAAATATTGTGAACTATTCATAAGATATGATCAAAATTTTGGCTATAATCAATTTCTTTTATAAACTAACCACCACCATGGAATACGGGTGAAGAATCACCATCTTTTGGAGTATGAATTTGTGATCATATTTTGGTTTATGTGCTTATTGTTGTGATAGTTATTGATTATTTATGGGGCTAATTAAATGATGAGGGATGATAAGAAGTGGTTATTTTTTTTGAAGAAGGAGCTTAAATTGATATCACATCATTCAAATAGGGAGTCAATCACCAGACTTAGAGTCAATCACCTTCAAAAAAGTTATATAACTCGTTGATCCTATAATGGGCATAAATGAGCCAACGACGGTTAAAGCAGACCTCACATCACCCAATCCTAATGCAAGAGTCTTACAACAATAAAAGTAACTAATAGAAAAATATACAGTCTGATCATGAAAAATAAATCGCAAGCAAACAGTAAAATTAAAAAGCTACTTCCAAACCCTAGACTCTTCTGCATTCCATGGCAGCGGTTCAGGAGGGGGGCGATCCAGCAGTACTATAGCTTCTTCCTCACTTTGTGATGAAATGGTTAGTAACACAAGAGGGAGGGTGAATTGTGTGTGTGTGAAATCGTGGCAGTTTTTTGCCTAGTTCTAGTGTGGGGTATAGGGTGAAGCAAAGTAAATAAGTGCACAAGGATTTAACGAGGAAAAATCTATTGGCTCAAAGGGATTAAAAACCTTCGACCTCCCTTGGAGAAATTTTAACAACTTCACTAAAAAGCCTTTGAATGGTTACAAGAGTAACTCTTCTAGTCTACATTGATCCGCCCTAACTCCATCCTCTCTAGAACGAGTTATGCTTCTCTACCTTGTGAGTAGAGAGCCTCTCAGCTTTACAACAAAGCTCTCACCACACACTAACCAACCCGAGGATGCTACAATTAGCCAATCCTCAAAACCCCATTACAATATGAAGAAGGGAAAATAGAAACTATATCTAGAACTTTGTGTGAGCAGTTTCAGGTGCCTTGGACTTTTGTAGTTATTTGATGAATATATCTCTCAGCAATAGTCTCGGTCAAGCACACTATCTTCCGCTTCTTGATCTCGGTATATATAAGCTCTTTGAAGACAGTCCGTTGTGACTACCTTGCATGGATGATTGAGTTTCCAAACGTGGGACTTGCCTTGTTATGATTTGAAAGACCTTCCTTCTACATAGATTCTTCTTGTTTCGAACTCATTCATAAGCTAATCAATTATGATTCACAAGACAAGATACTATCGTATAGAGGGAAGTAATTTATTTACTTAACATGTGTAAGAATGCAACGAACCATACACATATGGGTCAAATATAAATTATTCACTTAACAATTATAAATATGCTACGGACAACTTCCAAATATAATGCTACGGTCAAATACATATTTTCAAACCGTATAGCAAGGGAATAAGCTATTTTCTTAACAAATCTAAATATGCTACGGTCAACTTCCAAATATAAGTCATGAAATCATATATTAACACGCAAGGAATCTTTCCATAAAATGTTAAGCTAAACAGCCCAGGTCATTTAAGTGCGTGTTTAATCATGCATGGGAGGATATTTAACTTGTGTTACATATATTTAAAATATGCATGACAATCTTTTAACTTAAAATAATGATCTCAACACCGATAGTCATATAAGCAAAATTATCATGAAAGCACTTTATCAATTAATATGTAAGTCAACCGTTCTCACAGAACAGAACTAAGGTTAGTTCTATCTTCCGTTCTTTATGGAACAAAGGGTGGTTCTATTCGTTGTTCTACCTGCATGGTTAGTCATCAACAAAACTACATATTCAACATCTTGTCTCTTTTTCATCATGTTCTCTATCAAACCTCCTCCGTCGCCACCTAACGTGGATGACCTCGACTCTAGATCTGTTCCAGCCGCTAGCCCCATGCTTCGTTCATGATCTTAGGTTGCCTAAGACCAAGCATCCGTCTTCCGTCCCTGCACAACCT